GTCTGCCTTCGGCTCAGGTCATGATCCCAGGGTCCTGGGATCGAGTCCCGCATCGGGCTCCCTGCTCCTTGGGAGCCTGCTTCTCCCTCTGCTTCCCTCTGCTTCTCTCTCTCTCTGTCTCTCATGAATAAATATATAAAAAAAAAATCTTTAAAAAATGGAATTTAACACATTTTCTGTATTAGTGAATGTTTTAATTTTTCAGGAATTTTTATAAGTATTCTAATAATTTCTAATAGGAATGGTGGTATTATTATATTGTACATATAAGGAAATCAATTTAATTAAACACCTTGGTTGCAACCACTGAAATTAATGTGTCCAATATGGCATTAGCTCTGGATGCCCCTTTGTTTAAGATAAAACAGGTACATACTTATACACATCTTTCTTTAGATAATTCCTTTTATTATAATTACTACTAACATGCGAAAGAAATACTATCTCTTTTTGTGTTAAATATAAGGCAGCATTATTACCAGCTTCTGTAGTTTTTGTTATGTGCTTGAATGCTAGATTTTAAAGCTCAGTTTAATAGAAAGCTATGAAACATTTTCTGAATTCTTCAGTTTGGCTGCGTTTTTGTGTTATCTACCATAGTTATGTGTTTTTGGGTTATCTACTCTTCTGACTGACAGGTGGAGAAGTAATGGGCATAAGCATCCTTAAGTTAATGTCACTACAGCAAAGCTGTCTGGCAAAAGAATTGAAAACTTCCCCTGGCTTCGTTCGGCATTTATGAATATGTTGAAACGTAGATAAGACTAGATGTTATAATCAGTTATTATAGAAGTTGAGTACTTGACAGGCATGCTTGATACAGATGTTGGAGGCCATTTTATATACAAACACACACACACAACAATATGTATTATCAATTCTTATGTAAAAAGAATATGTACTAAATATCCAGAACGTGAATCATACAGCGTTTGACTGGATAGAAAAGTTAAGTGAAAGAGATGTGACAGGTCCTGATGGCTGAAGAATGTTCACTGGCTGAGAGGTGGACAATCAAATCACAGACTTGTCATGACAGGGAACAGACCCTAGAGAGGCCACTCTAAAAGAAGATATCCCTGGGCTGGGCCAAACAGGAGGTGCCACATGTGATAGGTAAATGAAAAAATGAAAGGGGACAACGTCCCCAAAAAAGAAAACTAGAAGACACTAGACACAGTGTTCCCTGGCAGTGACATCAAAGAAAATAGATAACTGGACCCAAGACTGTGTTGATCTTTGGTGTGGTGAAAGGTGGCCTGTGACTAAAAGCCATTGCGTCCAACAGTGACTGATTGAGCACGATCCTGGAAGAGATGGGTGTGGAATAAGCCGAGTCTGCCTCAGAAAAAGTCAGATCATTTGATATATCAAATATATAGGTTCCAGAAATAAACTACACTAACTCGGCAATACAAAACAAAGGGGAACCCCTCCACCACTCCCTGTGCATTTGCTCTTTTGCACTTATCTTAATCACTGTGCTTAACAGACTGCATCTTATTTATCTACATGTGTGCTTTCAAGAGTCTAAGCAACTTGAGGGAAGGGAATGTGTCCCCAGCCATGCCTGGCACACATTAGGCCCTCAATAAATTAAATTAAATTAAATTAAATTAAATTAAATGATAAATCATGCCTAAATCATTTCAAAAAGAAAATAAAGAAAATTAATTCAAGGGGTAGAAATTTCTATTGTCTTACCATGTACCATTTCTTCCTATTCCGCCATAAGTAACTTAACAATGTTCTTGAAAATTCAAAGTGTTTCAATGCTTACATTGTGACCAACAGAGTTTTACCTGGTTCTGCTCTGGAAAGCTAATAACAGCAAACCATGAAAAAACAGAACCAACCACACATTGCACCAGCCTGAACATACTCCATCAATAATTTCCACTATGGAGCTTCAGAGATGTTTGTAGCAATCCCATGAGAAATCTTGGGTTTCTAAAAATTTTCAAATCTTAATGCTTTTAAATTCTTGGTAGTACACACAAGTGTTTGTCATATTCTTTGTAGTCTTCTGTACCTAACAATGTTTACAAATTATCAACACAAACAAATAAAAAGTAATTCTTAGGAATTCTTATTATAGAAGTAGAAAATAAAGAATTTCTGATATAAATTTACTACTAAAAGTCTGATCACTCATGATTTACCAAGGAATTATCTTTCAGGGCACAAATATGGAAAACTCCTTTCTGTTTCTTCTTATTAGGTGTGATGATGTAGTGCCAAGGATGGCCTCCAATCTGAAAAGCGTTCTCCAGGGAGGATACCTCAAAGAGCAGTGGAGGTGTGTCTGCAGAGATGGGCAAAAGGAATTTATTATTTTCTCTGTTCTGGTAGCCTTGGAACTTTCATGAACTGAATTCAACCCTTCTTTGCATGTACCATCTATGAATTTTCATTAATGAAAAATTACTATGTTCAGGAAATAAAATATAATCAGGAAAGAGGCTGATTGCTAAGAAGAGAGAAAGCTGGTAGGAAACAAATGCTGTTATGAGGTCAACTTTCTAGACATCTGTTTTCAGAGTATGTGTGACCTGCAGCTGAATGGAGATAAAAAGTGGGCTGAAGGTGCTTATGAGGAGAAAAAATGACAAAGTACATCTAATAAAAGCACCATTTACTAGGCATGTATGTCTCAGACTCTGGGTTAGATACTATTTCCAACACTCATAACAATCCTAATAGGTAATTAAGTCTAATAATTCCTTCAGATGTGAGGAAGCGATCTTCCATATTCCAGACTAATAGGTTATACTTAGCAAACTTTATCAGAGCAGTCTTAAGATTTCCAGTGTAGAAGTGATATTAGTCATAATGAATGTAACCACTTAGGACAGGTAGGTCCTGTCACAATGGAAGCTTTATTAAAGGGTAGCCACTACTACTAATCATCTTTAGACAAGTTAACTAGTTTAGATACATCTAGTGAGTCACTGTCATTTAGAGACTGACACCATAAAAGTATCTGTTGGTGCCTCTTAGTCTTTTTGATAACAACTAATTTTAAGTAGAGTGAAACAGATGTACTCTTAGAGAAATGCTTAAGTGGAATGTACTACAGCTTTAAAAGACCAGAATAGAATTTGGACAGTACTTGGGAAACATCACAAAGCACACAGTCTGTTTCAGCAGGTGGTTAATCTACGACTCGTTTTTTTTACCCCTCTACCTTAAGAGAGGTTATGAGGCCATCACTGTCAGTAAAGGGGCTTGCGGTTGGAAGACTCAAGAGTCACATGTTACATATAGAAGTGTGTACTCTACTAGGCTTCTTCATACGGACAATTTACCACTTGGTGCTATACACAGGAGAAAAATAATGAAAAGTGAAATCACAAACTGACAGTCCTGAGAAAGAGACAAGTATAAACATATTAAATATGCTTAAAGTGTGTTTTTTTTTTTTTAAACTTCTGGGAAAAGAGTAATATTCTTAATATATAAAGAAGTCTTTTTAGGGTGCCTGGGTGGCTCAGATGGTTAAGCGTCTGCCTTCAGTTCAGGTCATGATCCCAGGGTCCTGGGATCGAGTTCCGCATCAAGCTCTCGGCTCAGCGGGGAGCCTGCTTCTCCCTCTGCCTCTCTCTCTCTGTCTCTTATGAATAAAAAAATAAATCTTAAAAAAAAAAAAAAGAAGTCTTTTAATAAGAAAAATATGAACCCAACAGAAAACTGGGCAAAAAACATCAGTAAGTAAATTATGAAAGAAGTACAAACATCATATGTGATAATATGGTAGCTATCAAATGATGGTAAATGAGGAAAAAAAATATAAAAAGAAAAAATATAATTAGAGTTTGAATTTGGGGTTAAAATTTCAAGTAGGTATGTTGTAGAGAATATAAAATAGGTATGAACAATAGGAAAAAAAAGCCAATCCAAAAAGATGTATTTAAAAAGAAATGCTTTTCTAAGCAGTTGCTAAAAATGGCCCCAAAGTAGCAGCAGGACTCTGTTCATCACAATTCTGATGGGTCCCCACTAACCTCAAGAGCCCGAATTTTGATCTCTAATAATATTTTCAGTTAAAGAGTCCTAGAAATTCTGAGAGTAGCAGATTCCATGTCTTGTAGTGAGGAAATTTTAAGATAGGTCTGAACCAGCTGGTTATTGCTATAAAGGATATTTTACAAGGATGTCAATGTAGTATTAAAAGCATAAGAGAACCAACAAAAGGAGCTCCTACTGGCTAGACTGTGGAAAGAGAGGCATTAAAAAGAAAATAATAATTATTATAATGCTCTGAGTCTGTGAAAGGTCAAGCAATGATACTTCAGATTTTTAATATAAATTATACAAAATGTTGTATAGTTTATAAAAGAATGGCTATAATAGGATAATGAATTTTCTGTAACTTTAAAATATAGGGAATATATCAGGCAAATGCAAATCAAAACCACAATGAGATATTGCCTCACACCTGTTAGAATGTCTATTATCAAAAAGATAAAGAACAACAGGATGTTGAAGAAAGGGAACCCTCATGCACCACCGCTGGGAATGTAAATTGGTGCAGGCACTATGGAAAACAGCATGGAAGTTCCTCAAAAAATTAAAAATAGGGGACGCCTGGGTGGCTGTCGGTTAAGCATCTGCCTTTGGCTCCAGTCATGATCCGAGAGTCCTGGGATCGAGTTCTGAGTTCTGTGTCGGGCTTCTTGCTCAGCGGGGAGCCTGCTTCTCCCTCTGCCTGCCACTCCCCTGCTTGTGCTCTCTCTCTCTTTCTCTGTCAAATAAATAAATAAAATCTTACAAAAATAATTAAAAATAGAACTACCATATGGTCTAGTAATTCCACTACTGGGTATTTACCCAAAGAAAATGAAAACACTAATTTGGAAAGATAATATGCACCTCTATGTTCACTGCAGCATTATTTACAGGAGTTCATAGAGACAGAGAGCAGATTGGCGGTTATCAGAGGGGAAAGGGTTGAGGGGTGTTTGAAATGGGTGAAGGGGGTCAACTGTATGGTGATAAATGGTAACTAGATTTACTGTGGATTTACATAGATTTACACTACGTATCACTTAGTAGTGTATACAAAAATGAATTTTTTTTGAGGTGAAAGCAGAGTTTATTGAAGGTATGGAGCAAGCAGATATAGACAGACACTCCATGGGACTTGGAAAGGAAAGGAGCATGAGTCTCATCTTTGTTCAGAGTCTGGGGTTTTTTATTGAGGATGGTGGTTTGGTGTACACATCCTCTCAGGTATCCAGGAACAGTTCAGAACAAAGATGAGGGCTCAGGTATTATTCCTTGGAGCCAGGGGGTCTTGGCATGGAGATGTCTAGCTCTGATGGTCTGGAATGCATATGTGATAACTTTGTCCAGTCATTCTCACCTGGTCCTTCCTTGGATGTTATTTATTCTAGAGAATCATCAACTCTTTGTCCCTTACAAGGAGGACATGCACTATTTGCATTATAAGGCATGTGTAAAGTGGGATAGGGGTGCAGGTCCTACCTAGCAAGAATAGAAACTGGAAAAGAAGCAAAGGAAAAAAACAGTTTTTTCTCTCATGGGGTCCCCTTCAATTTCTCGCTCATTCCTTACGATGAGATTTTTATCCTCCTAATTCTTAAGGGGTGTTGAAAAGTGAAGGTCTCATCTTCTGTAACTTCTTCAGGCTGAAAGAGATTATAGATCCTACCTATTGAGAGGCATAAAAATCCTGAGCTATCTCACTACATGGAGGGTCCCTAGGAGCAGACTGTTTGAGTTGGAGGCACTCATGAGGCCTCATCATAAGAATGGGATGCTTCCTACAGTTTCCATTGACATAATTTGTCTGGCATATTTATGCAGAGCATGTAATAACAATAGCTCCCTCAATAAAAAGACCTAGCATACGTATTATCATAGCTAGTAAAAGAAGTGCTTTCCGTCAGGACTATCCATTTCCGCTAAACCAGGAAGAAATCCAATCACTGAGAGAATTAGAGGAGTCAGACATTGCTTTAATTTCTATGTGCATGTCTGCTAAAACTTTGGATATGTTAGAGTTATCAGGGATATATACAAAATATTTAGTCTCAATATTAGCATAAGTTTCTTCTTGAGCTACAGTCAAGATATCAAGGACCATTTGGTTTTGGAGGTCCACCTTTCAAATTTGTGGGTGACTGCATGTTGGGTTTGGTTAAAGGTGGCCACTATATGCGTGGCTAAAGCCTATATTTGTAATTTTACAGCTATAGAGGAAGCTCCTGGGAAAAATATGGCTAAGGGATAAAACCATCAAGAATCCCGCGCTTTGCCTGATGTCTAGCCTTAGTAATATCCTAATTATGAAGAATCACTTGCAACTGGGAGATGACTTGTCCTGGGAAAAACTGAATTATTATGCTGTACACCTGAAACTAATCTAATGTTATATATACGTATCAATTTTATCTCAATAAGAAAAATAGGTAATCTTATATATTTCTTCTATTAGATAAATGTTTAGGGGCGCCTGGGTGGCTCAGTCGTTAAGCATCTGCCTTCGGCTTAGATAAATGTTTAAAAAATTTTGATACATGTTAAGTGAAAATACAAGGTACAGAACAGAATATATGATACACTACACTTGGTATAAGAAAGAAGGTAACATTTAAAGAATACACACACACGTTTGCTTATTTTTATAAAAACAAACAACAGAGGGATAACCTCGAAACTAAAAATAATGATTACTTCTAGGGGCAGGGTGGGGTAGGGGGAAGGAAGTAACAGAATAAAAGGACTATATATAGAAGTGAAATTTCTCAGACAATATCTTTTTATATAGTTTTGACCTTTGAAATATACACATTTTACAACTTCAAGAATAAAGTCAAAGGGAAAAAGAAACCTAAAATTGAAAACAAACTAAAACAAATGAATCTAATTACATAAAATTGGTAACCTAATCATACAGAAAAATAATTTTAAATAATCTTTGAACACATTACTTCTGTAGTACACTTATTGGGCTGTACACTAAGGACAAAAGGAACCATAGAGAAATCTTAACCTTCACAACACTATAGTTTTTAGTAGTAGCACTGATATGGCAATTTTAAGATTATCACATATATAATAGGATAAAATTTTATTAGGAATCAAGTTAAGTGGGAGCCAAAAGAAATACAAATATAAAATAAAAGAACAATTAATTTGGAAATATGAGAATGAACTAATGAATTTTTGTTTTACTATATTTCCCAGCTCTGTTCACCAAAAAATAAAGACAACCAATTGCATTGAGTACAACTAGATCTTGGTCTATGTTGTGGGTTGAACTGTGTCCCTCAAAAAGATAAGTCAAAGTCCTAACCCCTAGTATCTGTGAATGTGACCTCATTTGGAAACAGGGTCTTTGCAGAGATCATATTGGATAAGGGTGGGTCCTAAATCCTATGACTGGTGTGCTTATAAGGAGAGAGAGAGAGATTTGAAAACAACAGAGTAAAAAAGACCATGTGAAGACAGGCAGAAATGGGAGTTATACTGCCACAAACCAAGAAAGGCCAAGGATTGTCAGCAACAACCAGAAGCTAGAAGAGGCAAGGAAGGATTCTTTCCTAGAGTCTTCATAGGGAAGTCGTCTCTGTCAACACCTTAATTTCAGACTTCTAGCCTCCAAAACTGTAAGAGATTAAATTTTTCTTGTTTAAAGCTACCAGTCTGTGGTGTTACAGCAGCCCTGGGTAACTAACACAGTCAATGATGTTGTTTTCTACTAAAATGGCTCCTTGTCAGATCTAGGACAAGGAAAGTAAAAGACAAACCTGGGATATATTACTGTTCCAGAAAAAAAGGAAATTCTCCAAGACTACTGGGGTATGTCAAAATGGGAGTTCTCATTGGCCAAATTTGGGGCAATTTGAACATCATTAAGAATAATGACTGTAACTATATAATTTTGAATAAATAAAAATCCTTGAGTCTATTGGGATTATATGTGTGCTGACCTCTAAAATATTCTGCCACCATTGGAAGCGACTATTATACCAACTCCTTGTTCAAATATTGATAATTAAAGAGAAGGAATAAGTATCTACTTTCACTTTTTAGGAGGAATTATAGTTCATTCCTAGGTGAAAAGTGAAAGTCTTTATTTGTGGAAAAATGTTAGTTATTAAAGGTAGAAGGAATGAGAGAATCCTTCAAATGGCCATTCTGCCACCCCAAATGACATACCTGATTCAGGCAAGAATCATTAATAGTTACAGGAATATTCTTATGTTATCTGTAATCATAGAAAATTAAAAATAACCTACATGTCCAGACTAGTGAATTGGTTCAACAAATTTAGAGTTCATCAATAAAATGGTATATAAGTCAAGTTCTTAAAATTTCAAGGAGCTGCATGTGTACATGCATACACAAGGAATCACAATGTAAGCACCACATTCAAGAAGTATTACAAGGTATATAATGAAAACTCAATCTTCCTTTCATCTTATCCCTCAGAGGTAACTACTATTTATCAGGTTTTTGGGTATCCTTCCATACATTCCAAGCAAATCTAAAAGCATGAACTAGGGGCGCCTGGGTGGCTCAGTTGGTTAAGCGACTGCCTTCGGCTCAGGTCACGATCCCAGGGTCCTGGGATCAAGGCCCGCTTTGGGGTCCCTGCTCCTCGGGGAGCCTGCTTCTCCCTCTCCCTCTGCCTGCCACTCCCCCTGCTTGTGCTCTCTCTCTCTGTGTCAAATAAATAAATAAATAAAATCTTTAAAAATAAATAAAAGCATGAATTAATGAATTTTTGTATATGTATAAAAAAAGTATACTTATATGTATACTTTTAACATGTGAATATGAATTCTTTATACAAATAAAGCTTTTTATATACAATTTTATACTCCTTTTTATCACTTGATAATATATATTGGGAATTGCTCTATACCAATGCAAAAACAATTTTTTTTAACAATTAAATTTATGATACAGCCAAACAATGAAATATTAATGCCACCTACCAATGTACATGTTATTTCCAATCATTTGTTATTAGAAACAATGTTGTACTTGTACACTTGTCATTTTGTAGACATGTGAATATATCTGGTATAAATTCTTAAACATGGAATTGTTCAAGGAATATATACATTTAAAGCTTTGATACATATCGACAAACTGTCCTCCACAAAGGACCCCAATAATAAATGAATATACTGTTACAGACTTCTATACTTCTAACAAACACTGTTATGTAACTTTTTGATATTTGAGAATCCGAAAAGATATATCTTATGATAATTTTAATTTGCATTTCTCTTATCAGTGATGTTGGGTTTCACCTTCCCCTAATTAAAAGCCAAACAACTCAGTATCCCCAGGCCTTCAGTTCAATGAGTAACTGATAGATTTTGTTAACACCTATTCAATAGCAAAGAATATGCTGTATATATAGAAGTAAAATGAATTGAGTTTATAATTAAATTATGAGAAAACATCTGGACGATTACAATAAAAAACTATTTATATGACCACTTATTTCTTAAGGTGAAAAAAATGCTATATAGTAGCCATACCTGTGATTTTAATATTACAAGGAATGCCAAAAGGAGCCTCTCCTACAGTTCCAGCAGTCCCACCCCATCTGCATGCACACCCTAAGTCAAGTTTCTGTTGCATGAACTAAAAACAAAACAAAACAAAAACGGTGGCTTTAGCACCAACTTATTTGCTGTCTGAAGAAAGAAAAAGTCAAATTCACATGTATATGACAGAGAAAATATCTTTATTGACTCAAGGCCTGTTTATCTTCCCTCCCCTCTTTTAAAGGTTACTTTGTCTTTCTGCATTTGTACAGTTTTGTAGAGTTGAAATCTACACAAGTGCCTTATTCTAAAAGCATTTCATTAAAAAAAAAAAAAAAAGTCATACCTCAGTCCAAACCTCGAGTTATTATAATATGGCAAATTTCAGTCTTCTCTACCTGTTCAGTGATGGCTTGGAAGCTATAGAGTCTGACCAGTCCTGAGCTGTACATCACAATTAGTATTCCATGAGACAAGGTAGCATCTGTAACGTTCCCGAAAATCTGAGGGGAAAGGTAGATATCACCTGAGAAAAGACCAGAAGGCCAATCCTCTGAGTGTTCACAGTGGTTTGTGCATTTGCTTAATATTCAGGTCACCACTACAACACTGCTGCCTACCATATAACTTAATTATAATTTAGAGACTTGAAGTTAAAGTGTCAATAGGGTAGTAGGCCACTAGAGTCTCGAACAGGAGCACTAATGGGAGTGCAGCACTTAACCCTCAAAATGAAACAAACTGAGGGTTCTAGAGGGGAGGCAGGTGGGGGGGATGGGTTAGCCTGGTGATGGGTATTAAAGAGGGCACGTATTGAATGGAGCACTGGGTGTTACATGCAAACAATGAATCATGGAACACTACATCAAAAATAAATAAATTAAAAAAAGAAAAAAATGATTCAGCAGTATTCATTTGCTTCATCCATTTGCTTTACAGTTCTGTCAATATCTTTTAATAACACATCCTATTCCTCGTGGACCTAGGCATACACTGAGACCATCTAATTCTACCATGCAGGATATGTGTACTAGAGTAAATATAGGGACCTATTCTTCATGCTAAAATGTTATTTATAAAGAAACTTATTTTTTAGCCAAAAGTGAAAAGGCTGGATGTAAGAAAGTACTTCTAATGAAAAACAGCCAACTCCAGAATTTTATCATTACTTTGTTCTTTAAATATCTAATACTGCTTGATTTTTTAGTCATATAAAAACCAAACGTGTTAAAAGACCAAGCAAGCCCCTATAGAGGCATTTAGCCCAGCTAACCCTGAGTAAGGCTTTGGCTCTTTGTTCCCTTTCTGGGTTTGTTCTATGCACTGGATCCTGTCCTAATCCTCCACAGAGCTCTGATAAAGTAACTTGATTCTGTGCCTATTTTAATATTTAACAAAAGCCAACATAGACAAATATTCATAGCAATGAAAGAACAAGTGGAAATTAAGTGAAAATCTGTTTCTGTTTCTACTCAAGACAAATTACTTAGAGAAGATTTACTACCCAATGACGAGCTTAAAGTACATTTTGAGCTTCGCCCCTGGGTAGTCTCTTATACACGGGGAGTGGAAGATATGCTTCAGTTCCTACTAACCCTAATCAAAACCACATCCCTCCAATGACTATCATAGGCATCTAAGAATAAATAGAAACAATTTATGATTTAGTTAACTGTTCATTCCTGTTGCAGACTGTAATAAGTACACACAACTACTTCATCCACAAGCACAAAGAAAAGTTAAATTAGTAAGTTGTGTTTCTTGTCATCTCTTTGAAAGATAATTATGCTTTGCTTCGATCTTAACTAGCTCATGATTTTTTACTTGTTGATCCTTGTTTCCCACTTTGAAAAGGAGGACTTATGTAATTCAAACATGTTTTCTAACAAGGAGTGCTCTAATAAAGCAGCCACTGCATCTTAAAATTTGGTTCACACTTTGGAGTCAAACCCAGTTTCTAATTCCAGCTTCTCCACTTACTTAGGATTTGGGTAGCTGCTTAACTTCCTAGTTGAACCCACTATATGTTACAAAGTTATAAACTACTCAAAGTGCCTGGCACAAAACAATGAATAAGTAACTGATACTATTCATTCGCCTTTATGTAGCTTAGTATAATATGCTTATGCAAAAATTTTTTAATATGTTCATCTTATTTGCTAATGACTCTTAGTAGACCCTGAAGATCTGACCTCAGTAATACTTGAGGTGCGTAATTAAAGACTAGTAGAATAGACCAATAAATAACTATCCACCCAGACTAAGTAACAATTTTTTTAATGGAAAGTAGGAGGCTATTGATTGTTTTACTCAAAGGAAGTATGTCTTTTCTTTCCTCCCATATAACAGACCATAAATCAAGAAAAATGACAAGAATGGGCGCCTGGGTGGCTCAGTTGGTTAAGCAACTGCCTTCGGCTCAGGTCATGATCCTGGAGTCC